AATTATTCCATCCATTTTATGAGCCAGCCAACAACTTGAATGCTTTGATTTCACTTTCTTTTCAGTACCGAGGAGATTTTTAAACTGGTTCTGCTTTCAATCCCCAATAAGACCATCTTTGCTGATCTCTTAATCCGAAGTATTAGAAACGAAAGTGTGGGCAACGGATGAATATGGCATTGCTATAAATAAAGTTTCAGTTTATGAAAGAGTATCAAACTAACAGCAGGTCCTCCATATAGCCACTATAACTTTGTAGATTCCAAATGGCATTAACCCCCAGAGGCTATGACCGCAAAAACTGAGCCTGATTGTTTACCCAGAGAATGTGTTGCTAAATCAGAGGGCCCTCCCTGTCTATCCCATGCCCAGAGCAATTAGGCTTTCCCCTCCCACTAAAATAGAAGCCACAGACAAGTGGCTCTCAGGACAATTAAGACAAGCTGACAGTTTTTCACTAACGTACACAGTGAATGTCTCAAAAAAAAAAAAAAAAAAAAACACCCACACACATTTCTAGCTTCTTTAAAAATCTGAAGACCTGACAAGACTGGTCCTGCACTTCTGTCTGACGCTTCAATATCTACTTTCTCCCCCTTCCTCCAGGAACTTGATCTCCCCATTTCCCACTCATAATTCAAAACTGCATCATGCACCAAGGTGATCTGTGTGGCCCTGGGCCTATATCTCTCTGGATTTGTGACCCTTTTACTTGTAGATAACAAGTGGAAGCTAGCCAATTGCTTTTGATTTCTGAATGCCTGTTCCCAGAAGGATGAGTCAACAATGCATGACACCATTTCCTATTTACTGTCTATTTAAATCCAGAGTTGAACAGGCCTTATTTTCCCCAATGTCTGTGTTGGTCTCCTTTGAACACATTTCCCACTTTCTATGCAAACGTTCCCCTTTGTAACGTGTCAAATGCTAGCATCTGAGCACACTGCCTTCTCATTTTGGCAGTAAGAGAAAACAGACTTTAAGGACAAATTTCGCTACAGATAGCTTCCAAAATTTCCATCTAAGTCTCCTCTATGTATCGTGACCAAATTTAAGGCAAACATCTCTCTTGTTTCAAGTATACAATTCATAAAGGGCTCTGGTTTTTTTCTTCCTTCACACATTCTAATGCCTTTTACAACAGACATGAGCTGAGTAAATGGCCCCAAATTGGTCTCTTTTAGGAGATAAATCCAAGAAACAGTTAAGAGGCAGTAACATTCAAAGACCAAACCCTATAATTCTTGTAGGTGTGGCAAAGAATAGCCAAGAGGGGACTGCTGTGTCACTTTTGTTTCTGTTGTTTGAATTTGGGATTTTTACTAAGGCACTATGGTATCCCAGCTGTTCCGTCACTTTGGTTACAAATATAGTCGGTTTCAGACAAACTGGTACCCTGTAAAAAGGCATAAGCAAGGTTTTCAAAAACACAGCCTTGAATCAGTCCAGCAATCTGCTGCAAGTTAGGAATGATTTCCCGAAGCATCCCTTGTGCTGGGCTAGAGCATCTTTTTCACTGCAAGGAGTGCTCACTGGCCTTCTTCCGCAGCTCTGCAGCCACGGTAAGTTCTTCTTCTCAGGATACGCTCATCCTCTCTCTCATCTTTACAACAGCCCATGCCAGCAGGCATGGCAGGTGGTAAAACAGATCCCAAGAAGTTTATAACTTGACCCCATGTCAGATACATAGTGACAAATCTAATGCCTAGCCCCAGGATATCCAAACAGTATCCAATCCAGATTCTTGAATATACAAACGTTGTGGGCAGAGGAGACTACCTGTCCACCAAGATTCCTCCTTCCCCTGCATATGTCAACCGGTCACTCGGAAGTGGCTTTTCACCCGGGCCGCTGCACCTAGGTGGCACATTGCTACTATTTCTCACAACCTGAAACACAAGGGGAAGTGAGGCACATCCCTTCTGGGCAAAGGTGGCAAGGAAGTGGAGTATCTCTACCCTCGCTTTCCCATCGGCTAGCTAGATGCAGGCATTTCAAAGGCACAGGAGCGGTAAGACCCAAAAAGAAAGAAATCTGGCAACCCTCCCACCTACTAGGAATATCTGTGTCAAGCTGCTAGAGGAGTAATTCTCAGAACAGGTCAGTAACGTTCTGAGGTTTGGTACAGCACATAAGCATTTAGTTCCTAAACTTTTACACTAGATTTGTCACAGCGCAAGGAAATACAATGGGTCAGGTTTACCAAGCGTGGGGTTGCAGGACTGCATGACACGGAGAGAAATAAACAGGTCTTCTGGTGACAGGGACAACGTTTTATGTACACGTCTCATGGAGCTTAACGCTCTTAAAAAAAAAAAAAAAAAAAAAGGGAGGTGGAGGGAACAACGTTGAGGCCCTGAACAGCAGGCAGGCTGCGTCAGGGAGGCACGTGATGGTGGCGGCCTCTTCCGGTTTCTGTACCCTGACTTGTTTCTCAAGAGGGAATAGTCAGGGTCCTCCTAACTCCACTAAGGTACCACACAATAACATACTAGAATAGCATAGCAACCTGGGGAGGACATAATTACCAATTTAGTTTGTTATTTCTCATTTCTCCCACCCCCTGATGATTCAACTAGCTGTATCACTCATTCCCAACATCAACAAAAGAAAAAGAGTGGAAAACCTATTCTCTAGAAATCTCACCTCATTTTACCATTTTTATGGATACAGAATGTACCATCACATGTTAGGTTTTGGGGGGTTTTTTTTCTTTTTTTTTTTTTTTTTAAGCCATTTCTATTTGGGCTCTTTGAGGTTCTACCTAATAGCAGCTTACATTCCACCAACTGGTAGAGAAAACTATCTTTTCAAAAATAGTAACTCAGGTACCACATATGACACATCCTAAGCCCTAAGGATGGAACAGAAAAAGATGCCCAGGTGTAACCAATATGGGATACCTAAATATAATCACCTTGGCTGGAGGCAAAACTTAAACCAAATTCCAACAGGTTTTTATATAACTGATCCCACTGATCCTTAAACACTAAATGAGGAGAGTACAATGAATAGCGGGTGTGTACGGGTATCTAAGAAATCTGGGCCATAGGATTCCAGAGCCTCCAGAGACATTAAATGTCAGGACACCTTCTAGACCGTACCTCTGATCTTCTCTCTACTCGTGACTCTAACAAACGCTCCAAACCTCCTTAGCCACAAACCACGTCATCTCGATGCTGAGGGGCAGAGCCCACTCAGCATTACTGAGCATGTGGTTTGTGGACTCTGGACGAGAAAAAACACGCGGTGCCCTGTTCTGAGGGACCATCCCAGGGATTAGTATCACATTAATGCTAATCCTGCAGCTGGTCTGGCCAAAGAATTCCCACCCTCATCCAGGCCCTGGAACTCTGAATAGGCAGCTTATGTTTTCCCAAAGTGGCATGAATAATCAAAAGAGCTAAGCCTACCTAGCTAATTATGGCCAAAAACAAACCAATTGGCTACCTAAAGCCAACCTCCAGCCCACTGGGGCAAGCAGGAGGAGAAGGGGTAATAAGCCTTCTCTGTTCTGCCGGGGCCCTTCGGGTTTTGTGGGAAGGTCCCGCTGTCACCAAGGTGCCACCAAAGCACTGCACACAAATTAAAATCAAAGGCCAGCTAGGATCCAGATTATGTCCAAGTTGAGGAAGCACTCGAGCTCCTGTGGACTGGGTAAGATGCAAGAGATCAAATATTTAATTCTTATAATACACCCAGTTCGATTCAAGGGGATTAAAATCTCAAATTCAGATTCAGCTCCAACTAGAAACACAAACCCCAAACACGCAGTTTTCAAAGAGCTACCAGATCACATATAATCCTAATGCCTCCATCCACCCACAGCCCCTGGCATTTGTAAATTTTAAACAAGGCTGATCTAATGTGGAAATTCACTGTGCATACTTCCCTGCTATACAACACAGTCTGCACAAAATTTACGTAACTGACTCTTTCCCTTCCCTGCTGCTCTAGGTCAGAGTGTACTTGTGTTCATAGCTACTATGCTAATTACTAGCCAACCTCCAACAGTTTGAAGAGCACTTCCAAAATTCAATGGAATAATTATAGTTAAATTTTCTACTACTCAGTGGTGCCATAGCCAGCCAACTTCTCCCTCATAAATGTCCTTCTGTTTCTACTCAAAATGGGCTTTCTCCTTACATGACATTAATAGTACCAGTTTCCTTCTACCATGTTAGTAATAATTCATTGTCTAGCCTTACATTTGAGATTTTCAAAGCTAAGAGAAAGTAGGGTGGGACACAAATTTTCTCCAGACTGCATCAGACTAATTTTCCCCCACTGCTGTCTATACAGCTTTTTCTTTAGAAGGGTAGGGCCAATAATGGGGACAGGCTAGAAGAATTCAGTAAGGAGGGACGCAAAATGCTGACCTGGCTCTCTTACTACCCTCTGATGTTAACAGTCAGATCCGACCTAACGTGGTGACGTGTCTTCCTCAAGGTCTCTTAGGCCTCAACAACCCCAATTACTTTTTCCAACTTTTCCTCTCATCTTGCAACCAAATTCCCAGGAACATTCAACTTCATGGTCAAACCAACCTGGATATCCTTATTACACCACAGTAAGAGTCAACTCACTACAGAAGACAAGACTTCCCATTCTCAAGCTAACCCCGAAGCCTGGTGGTGGGAAGAAAAGAGAGGTGGGGTTTATTTTCTCTCCTCCACAATTACTAACCAATGTTAGGTCTTTTGGGCAATGAACATACGTTAACCTGTATGACTTCTCCCCACAGTGACTTGTCACAAACAAAAGCATGCCACTTCTTCAAGACAACCTGCATTCTCTATGTTACAATAGCTTAAAAGCTCCAAAGGCAATGAATTACACAAGAGATAAAAAAGCTAATAAAATTATTCACATGATCCTCTTTCTGATTCTCTGCTTGGCAGCACACAACTTCCTTTTCCTTCATTAGTTCCAGAGCCTTTCTGTCCTTGAATATAGAGATTTAAGAATGACCTCTTATGACAGGAAATTAAGTGACTTACCATTTATCGAGCACCTGTTAGGTCCACGATCAGTCATGGGCTGTGTATATACAGGACCTCGTTAAATGCTAACAGCTCTGTGCGGTAAGCTCTGCTCACATACAGCAGAAGTAGAACTCAAACCCAGGACTGCCTGATTTCCAAAGATAATGCCTCCTCTGCCAGGCAGCCTGACAACTGGAATCAAAGCCTGAAAACTTCTTTCAAAGCCAACCCTCAGTGCAAGTACACCACAGGATTCAAACGATCCTGGAGCATTCTCCAGGTCTGTCTCACTCACCTTCAAATTTGTTATAGTCCCAAGAAAAGCTACTCTATTTAAACCTCAGAAGGAACATCCAAAGAAAAGTTTACTTAAGACAACAAAAGACCTCCTTGTGATGGCCTGGAAGTCCACCCTCACAAGAAATTTGCCCTTCTCCAGGCTAAAGGTCGCCCAAGGTACAAATTTAGAGCTTTGAACAGCCATCTGCTGATGCATCTGGAAAACAAAGGGAGGAGACAGGAAAAGGACAGGAGGCAGCCAAGTCCCTTCAGATGTCTCACTGAGCTGTGTGTGTACTTCCTGGTGCATCCTTAGAACAAGACTGTAAATTAACGTGGGTGTGTCAGACCTTAAGAAAACTGGCATGATTCTCTCATGATGCTTCCGCTCCACTTTGAATTATTGCAAAATCAGAAAATGATTGAATCATGATGTCAAGCTTTAACACGCTCAATCAACACAGGCAATACCAGAACGCAAGTAAAGTGGAGATGAAGTCGGATTCATCTGAAGCTCTTTAAAAAATTCAACCACTGGTCCCAATTTATGAGAGAAAACCACACAGTCAGCATATGAGTACCCCACTTTCCTTTTACGCAGATATTAGCCAAATGCTGATAACAAACAATAGCACAAACCGTATTTCATCAAGTTTCATACAGAGAGAGAATCTTGTCTCAAAAATAGAACGCTGCTCAGATTGAAAATGTTCAGATTTCATCTTAAAACAAACACATGGCACATTTATTTCTCTTATTTAGCCAAAGAACTGCACGTTCTGCAGAATTCTAACACAAATTATGGCACCTGAAACTAAAAATGGTACATCTGATGTTTAAATGACTAAGTCAAAATCACATTGGTTTCAAAAACAATGTTGCTCGCTCACTTCCTGACAGTTAGAATGGACTATGTTTCATCCCATACTATGATCCATAAAGAAATTAATCTTTCTCCATTTGTTGAAAAGTGGAGCCTTAGATTAACTGTGCACATGGAGTAAGTTGGTAGACAAAACACATTTTAGACTTTCAGTTACTAAGACACTGATAAGTAATCCTAGATTAACTCAATTCCTCTTAAGTCTAGTTTTCAGTGTTTTCACACTAGTATCTCAATTGAATCTTACAGTGAGCCTGTGAGGGGAGGTTCCCTCCTCCATTTTTGGATGAAGCCAACAGAGAACTACTATTCAAGAAGATCATTTAAAGCTATCAATAGGTTTCTAAAGGTGTTATTTTTTCTTCATATGATAAAGAAAATAACAACTGACCTTAAAAGAACCATTATTTTCCAGATCCTTGCAGAAAGCAGCAAAACACCAGCTGAGCACTTAGCCCAAAAGTCACTCTGCCCTTTGTAAAGGAAAACACAATCATTCAAAACAGAGGCAAGGCAGTCTCAGAAATGCACTTTTTTTTTTTTAAGATTTTATTTATTTGATAGAAACAGCGAGAGAGGGAACACAAGCAGGGGGAGTGAGAGAGGGAGAAGCAGGCTTCCCGCTGAGCAGGGAGCCTGATGTGGGACTCGATCCCAGGACCCTGAGATCATGACCGGAGCCGAAGGCAGACGCCTAACGACTGAGCCACCCAGGCGCCCCTCAGAAATGCACTTCTAACCATGAAAAAAGAAAAATAAAGTAAGGTGTTATAATCTCAGGATTTGCTGAAATGAATAAATTCCAAATCAACACTTTAAAGAAAAATAAGGGATTAACAGAGGCAAAAGTAGGTACATACACTTTGACTTGCCATGCAGTGTCCATGTCTTCAGCCGACCCCACAGAGCTAGGCTCTACGCCATCTAAAGGACTTGAGTAAAACACTTTGAGCACAATGTTCATTTAGCCCTAACAGAACATCAGTAAGAAGAAAGAGGCTGAGCACACACTGAGTGCACACCGGCAAAGGGGGGCCATTCACAAAGAAACAAAGACGCACATGGCCCAGAGTTCGAAGGCAGAAGAGAGAACACATTTCCTAAACTCAGTCATATTACAATCTCTCAACTTCCACATGGAAAATGAACACCATTTCACTCTGCAGGTAAGAGGAAAATTGATTAAACTAGTATTATAAAAATCCCAAAGTAACCAACTGCTCAGAGTACCCATCTGCTGCCACATTTTTTTTAATTAATTGTCACAGGCATTTTGTTGTTTCTTTATTAGAGAGACAGAGAGAGAGTGTGAGAGCACACACGGGAAGGGCAGAGGGAGAGGAAGAGAGAGAATGTTAAGCAGGCTCTAAGCCCAGCGCAGAGCCTGATGTGGGGCTCCATCTCACGACCCTGAAATCATGACCTGAGCCGAAATCAAGAGTCGGACATTTAACTGACTGAGCCACCCAGGCGCCCCTGGTGCCACATTTTTTTTTAAGTTCAAGACAAACAGGCAGATGCAGGAAATGCATGGAACTATTGAGCTGAATAAAAAAGATGGAGGGGGCCTGACTGGCACAGTTGGTAGAGCATGGGACTCTATCTCAGGGTCATGAGTTCAAGCCCCATGTAGGGTGCAGAGATTACTTAAAATTTAAAAAAAAAAAAAAGATGGAGACTATTTAGTCCAAAAATCTTCATTTCAAAGAAAAGAAAATTTTGGCATAGAAATTTCAACCTGTTTAATGTAACATTCACACCCTCGGGAGCAAGAACAGGTTTTTGGGGGGTTTTTTTAAAGATTTTATTTATTTATTTGACAGAGAGAAACACAGCAAGAGAGGGAACACAAGCAGGGGGGGTGGGAGAGGGAGAAGCAGGCTTCCCGCTGAGCAGGGAGCTGGACGCGGGGCTCGATCCCAGGACCCCGGGATCATGACCTGAGCCGAAGGCAGACGCTTAATGACTGAGCCACCCAGGTGCCCCAAGAACAGGTGTTGGATTCCTACCATTCTGCGTCAATGCAGACACAAATCTGACAAAATGAAGTTCTAAAAACCTAGATGTTAAAAGTGAAAGAATTCCACCAAAATTGAAGGCAGCCTGAAGATGGGTATTACAAAGACCATTAGAAAGGACAGAAATAAGGGAAGTGGACCATTTAAGGGATGTGTTAAGCACCAACCATACTAATTGGGCAGGAGTGCTTTACTGCGAGTTAGCAATGGCTGGCAAATGGAAATATTAATATTAGTCTTTTGTTTGTCCCTTCAAATTTCAATAAAGTCTCTATCTCTGAAAGGGTGTAGATCGCTACAAGCAGGACACTATTGCCAATTCATGCTCCAGTTCTCACAGCAGGCCCCGAACCAGACTCCGGTACGGGAGCAGGAGTTCACATGCAATTTAAGGCAGGGCATCAACAGCTCAAGAGGGAACAACCCCACGTGGGCACATCTGGATGGACACTCCACACAGCCATAGGCTTTAAGCATTTTCATGCAACAGTGGTAAGTAAATGTCCAGACAGACCAGAAAAATAGCATCAGACATTGCACTAGAAGGTGTATGGCATGCTGTAAGAACTAGGAACACTTTCTATCCCACAACTTGAATTATTGCCATCCAAAGTCACTAATGATTTAAGAGCAATAAGCACATTATAGAATTATAAAACACAATTTAGTTAAAACACCAGGTTTCTATAAACTCCTGCTTCCAAGTATAGAAATTTCTCCTCTTCACAACACACTGTATATTAGTCCCCTAAAAAAGACAAATGGTATCATTTCAGAAAAGATATGAAAAGAGAATTTGCAGAGTTGGCATCTGCTGTATACTCAATGCATCTGGCGTGAAAGGAAAAGGCTCTTGAATTATAGAGACGGGATTACTTAGAAGATACAACAAGAAATCAAATGGAAAATATATTACAAATGAAAAGAAAAACACTGCAGCAATAAGGCCTATTTCTGTGGCATGTTAAGCTTCAAACCGGAACAGATTACTACAGCTGCCCCTTTGTTTCCATGATAAATTTATACACAAAGTAATTGTGAATTGTGATCTGCTTACTTTTTGCCCCTCACTCATATAAACCATGAACTTCTATAACAGCAGGAACCAGGCCTCTGATTTACTATGGTCTTTGTGAACACGGAACACAGAACCTAACACATAGGAGTCACGTAAAACATTTTTGGAGTGAACACTTTACCAAACAATTGGCAAACATTTTCCCAATTTGATAAAATGCCAAGTTGGCAAGAAGAGGGGGGAGACAAGTACTTGTGTGTGAGTACTTGTCATTTGGCAATACGGCAATACAGTAAGACCCTTTAAAAACAAAGGCCAAGTTTCCATTTTTCACTATTTCACTATTAAGTGAAAAAGACAAGAGACGGCGCAGTACATTCAGTGTCCTCCTACTTGGTTTTGCTTTGAAGGCAATGGGTCCTTACTCTGTGTAGCGACAGCAAGCTCGTATGGCCAGGGCGTGCACACCACACAAGGCCGTGGGGAGTCATCCATAGCGTGACCTACATGCAACCCACATATCCGATCTCAGGGGCCTGTTTGAATACATAACCAAATTCTAGAAGGAGTGACAAAAGCACTTCACAGAGATCACTCAGAATGGTTATACTGGGGAATGGAACGGACATTCTGAAAACATGTGAAAAGGGTAGAAGTCTTACTTTTCACTTCTACCCTTCCCATGTATTTTCACTTCATGCATTACTTTGAAAGTTTTAATCTCCTTTTTAGGAGGGATTTTATTTATTTATTTGACAGAGAGCAAGAGAGCACAGCAGGGGGGAGGGTCAGAGGGAGAGGGAGAAGCAGGCTCCCCTGTGAGCCTCGATCCCAGAACATGGAGATCATGACCTGAGCTGAAGGCAGACGCTTAACCGACTGAGCCACCCAGGTGCCCCTAGGAGGGATGTTATGTTGCTGGAAGGAAGGAAAGAAGGGAGGGAGGGAGGTAAAGAGGGATATGTAAGGTAAAACAACAACAAATGATTTTAAACTAACTTTTCCCTGCTTGTCTTTACTCTTCTGCATAATACATTTTAGGAGTCAGGGGTCAGAGCACTGGTTTTCATTTTATGCTTATTTGGGGCCTAATCAGGATCATTTCCTCTTCCCACTCATTGCAACATCAGACTGGGAGAAACAAACCAGGTGGGCACGATGCTCCCCTACGGGGCAGGAACGCATCCCTAGAGGGATCTGGAACACGAAACAGCAGGTCCGCCCGACGAACAGGCACCTGCCCCAGGGTGTCAGCATGCACAAGGCACCCACCCTGGATGCTGGGAGTGCTGGACTTTTGTTTCCTCGCATGGCTCAGTTGTGCTTAAGCATCTACTGTTCTTACAAATCCTTCTAGTTTTCTTAGAGTTATCTAAATGAACAGGTGATGAACTCGACCTTTAAGTACATTTCCTTAGGGTAGTTCAAACTGACAATGGCAACGGGCTACACACAGCCTTTCTGAAACTCTCAAGTAGCAAGCATATGCAAAACACATCACTGCTCTTCAGCCTCTTCGTGTTTTCTAAGAAAGACACACCTCAGCCTCAGCTGCCCATCAGAATCGTCTGGGGAGCTTTAAAAAAAAAACTCCCAATACCCGCACATCCCACACCTCAGACCAGTGAAATCAGAACCACTGCATTTCCCCGGATGATCCCAGGACACACTTCAGGCAGGGTATGTATTCACCCAGTTATTTGAGGAATTATACAAACAATTCTTGAGCACTCAGAGGGTACAGGAACACTGCCTTTGGAGCGAAATGTGAATAAAACCAGTGATACGAGATACTGAAAGGGCTGCTTACCTGTGTCTCTTTCCAGTGGCTGGCTGGGCCACCAGCAGCACCAAAGAAGGTCTAATAAACACACAAGCACCCCGCTAGACTGTTACTCCTGACACGTCTGGCTAAGCTGGTGGGCATTTCAGCCATACACAGCTATGCAAATAAATATCCCATGACTCACACAGCTCAAGGTCCACTGTGGCCTCAGACACCCTGAACTTCTCTTCCTTCCTCCCTTCCTCCCTACCTCCCATCTCCATTTATTCAGATGCCAGAACTCTTCAATAATCTTCCATGGTGGCAATGAGGTAGATAAAAAAACACCTTCATCATCCCGGAAACGACAGGCCCCTACCATAAATCTTCCATAATGTATAACCAAATGCTAATTGGGGCTATGTCCAACCTGTGAAGTCAGAATCTCCTCCAACAAAACAGTGCTAGGAAGCCTGGCAACCCTGTGTATTCTAGTCAAAGATCACACAGTTTGTTTCTTGGAATGCTCATTCCAGAGAGATGGGGCGGGACAGAGCATCACTTGGAAACTGCCCAGAAATATTCACTGGAAACATATGGAAAACCACAAAGGGCCCTGCCTTGACTTACTTAGCCTAAGCAGGGATTCGTATCTCTTTCCAATGTTACAGACCCCACCTAATGAGAACTCCATTCAAGATGTGATGGGTGGGGGAGGGGGGATGTTTCAGAATAAAACACCTGGTATAAATGTGACTGTTAAACTCTAATTGG